GAGGTACTAAACAAATGCGCATTAGGCTGCCTTAATGCACGGTAATGAATGTGCATGGTTTTTAAGTGAAGCTTAATGTGCAGTAGCCTATTTTACTGCTTTATTGTGTGATGCTTTAATGAGCAGTAAAATAGGCTGCTGCACATTAAAGTGCACATGTAAATGCTCCCACAGAGAAGTTAATATGTAGAAAACACAAACTCTTTTTTTACGGACGTAATTGAAAATAGCTCACTTAACGGTTCACTTGACCCTAACAATGACAAAATTGAGAACATATGAGCATCATTGGCCTGTAAATGCAAAATGTTTTACTTTGCGTAAAAATGGAATGCATGAATCCATTCACATTAACTAAGTCTGAATGTAATGTCTGGTTGGATGTCATTGCATTTTTCTGATGGCTGAGTTCTAGCTGTGTGTCTTGTTGGGTGTGGACTTGTTTAGTCCTGTCAGTCGTATCTGTGTTGTCCTCACGGTGATAACCTCAACGAAAATCCAAAATAGCTAGTAACCTTAGATGAGAGAACTGTATAATATAATCATAAGAGTTCTGGAATGGTCTGGCCATGACATTGGTAAAGATGCTTGCAAGAAGAAATATGTAGTAAGAGAAGATATCCAGGCACATCCTTCCAGGAAAGTCCTATAAAATTGAATAGAAATTGATCTCTCTCCCATACATTTTTTTTTTGATCCTCTTCCAGAATTTCATAGACTTCATAGATTTTGTAGACATTAGGGTTGAAAGGGACCTCAAAAGATCATCGAGTCCAGCCCCCTGCCCCAGGGGCAGGAAGTCAGCTGGGGTCAAAGGATCCCAGCAAGATAGGTATCCAAATGTTTCTTAAAAGAGTCCAGAGTAGGTGCTTACACCACCTCTGGAGGGAGTCTATTCTAGTTCTTGGGGGCTCAGACAGTAAAAAGTTTTTCCTTATGTCCAGCCTAAAATGGTTTTGGAGGAGTTTGTGGCTATATGACCTTGTCATCCCTTGGGGCACTCTGGTGAACAAGCATTTGCCCAGATCCTGATGCACACCCCTTATGTACTTATCGGTAGCCGCTAAGTCACCCCTGAACCTGCGCTTTTCCAGGCTGAAGAATCCCATGGCTCGCAGCCTCTCTTCATAAGGCCTGTTCTCTTGCCCTCTGATCATGTGCATAATACTACATAATTTAATGTACAGTAAAAGCTCTGTTATCCGGCATCCCTCGGGAATGGGGGATGCTGGATAACAAGATATGCCCGATAATTGAGCGGCCCTGGCCACTGCTTCTGGGGCGTCCCTCTTCCCCTCCCACCACATCGCTGTCTCTCCCACCCCTCCCGCAGGCCCCGCAGGACAGGGAGGCAGGCTCTGCACAGCCCCGTGCAGCCTGTTATGCCCCCGGGCCACGGGGGCTCAGCAGCGCAGGCTGCTTTGGCCCTGGCCAAAGCAGCCGTGTTTTTGTAGGGAATGGAGCATGCTTGTTTTGTGATGCTGCATCAGGCCATGAATTCTGAGATGTGGCTGGCTTCAAGGTAAGCATGTAGATTTACACCAGTAACTTTTACCACATCTCTATGGGCAGCCTTTCAGGTCAACTGTTTTTGAAATGGATAAAAGTGTGCTAATTCCTTGAAGGTAAATCAAAAGGATTATGACATCTAGGAAGACGAGGCTGCCAGACCGCTCATGAGCAATATAGCTATGACTGACCTAAAGGCAGCTCTACAGCTTCCAATAAAATTGCCCGAGGAATCTGCCAAGAAGCCAGATGCTGCTGCTGGAAAAATACCTTCTGTAGCTTGGCATTTGTCCTGTAATTGCTTCCAAGAGAAAATAAACTGTAGCATGACAGTAGAAGGTGAATGGTTCCTCATTGCAGGCTACTTGGGTGATTTTAAAATGTTTAGAAAATGAGACTGTATGTTTGTGACAGATCTATACAAGCTGATAGCATGTCTCACTGCGTAACAGTTTTTCACTACAGTAATCCTGGACATCTCTTTATTAAGGTTTTAGCCCGGTTGAATGTTGGTTTTAGTATTCCTTTTGATATGTCCATAGACTGGTCATTTAGGCTTCAATCCTGCAAATATAGCTTTGCAACTACGTGAGGATTTTGGTGGGATTCTGCCTGGCTGTAAAGAACAGCATCTTTTTGCTGAAAAAGTGCAAATCCTTGTACTTTTGTGTAGGGATGGCACGTTGGGGAAAAAAAAAATGATTTAGTTTTAAATCTGAACTCTTTCACGGGATTAAAATTTGGTTTCTTTTTCTGTCGCACAAATTGGAGGAGGGATGTCTGTCTGTCTTTGGAAAGCACCTGGGAAATTTTCAGCATCACTGAACATAAATATTAACTATAATCTAAAATTGCCTAGAATATGAGATTTTAATGAGTTTTCCACTTGTACCACAATTATGATTTTCATTGATGTCAATAAGCGGCACTCATAGGATGAGTGTATAGTGCACTCATAAATACTGGTGATTTATTAACATCACCTGTCTCTTCACAGATTCCCTGAAAGTGGACAGCAGCTATCTCAAAATGCTTCATTGTTTGAAGTTGACTCTTTTTTTTCCCCCCGGGAATTGATTCTTGGTGTGGAATGGAAAACCATTCTTGAGTTACCTTGAAGTGAATAGTTGAATTTTGTTCCCTGTTCCCCAGTTCTGTAAGATACCTGGCTTGTTTTGTTCCTGATTGGCTGTTTAAGCAGCTGAGCATGAGCTGTGAAATATATGTTGTTTGGAAAGCTTGAACATTAAAGTGAAACTTTCACAAAAATGTGCAGACATTAACCTCAATTACTAGGATATGCAGATTATAAGTAACATACAAAATAAGTAATATAGTATGCATACTGATCTATACACACACACACACAGTCAAAATAAATTCCATTTACAAATTCAAAAAAAAAAATCTGTATTTCCTTCCTTGTGAATTTTCATATGAAATTGTGTAACAAACTAGTGCTTGGTTGTTGGGTTTGCCATAATAAATCATCAGTCTGTTTACAGGGAAGTGAAGTCCTCTTATTAGTTTTTCTGACACTTGACTGACAGGGAACAAGGGTCCTGTCTTGAAAAGTAGCAGTGAATAAAGATCCTGACATAATAGTTTATGGTTGATAATAAGAAAAATTTACTTTTCTTCCTGGGTGCATATTTAGAAAATGTAAGGGCACAGTTTATAAGCTAAAGGCCTTTTGGGGCAAAATTGAAACAGGGCTTTAAAAAAAAGTGTTAAACTCTTCTGTGCAAAGGGTCAGTACAACTGTACCACTTCAAATCCCATGTCCCCCTTCTAAACACAGGTTACACTTTGCATAGGTATTGTGCTGGATTTCACCCATAGTGAATGCCTAAGTACAGACATTCAAAAAGCCTGAAGCAGAAGCCAAGGCATCCAAAGTTAGGTTGGGAGGGAACAGAACAGATGTTGGACCTTGTTGAGGGTGGGGTGGATGGTAGTGCATGAGTGTCCCCAGCCTGCAGGCCTTTTGCATGCCTCCCAGCAGAGCTGCTTCTATTTTCCCTCTTTCAGAGGCCCCTGCCATGCGCCCTCCTGCCCCCACAAGCTGTGCTGGCTCTAGTCTGGGATGGTTGTCAGCAGGGTTGGGGGGAGCAGGACAGGGGCTAAACCCAAGAAACCAGTGACACTAAGACATCAATGACCTGGGACAGTCATCCCCCCCCCCCCCC